TTCCATTTTAGAAAAATGTAATGGTGCTTAAAGGTCTCACCCAATAGATGAAAACATTACCAAAAACATTTTCTAAGCGATCATTGCCTTAATATTAAAGCTTTAAAATGTGTTACACCCAGGAGCTTTAAATAAGTGCCACATAGCTTAACTGTCTGCTGCTCCACAACATTAAAGTAACACAAAAAACAGTCTACCTTCAGTTCCTATTATCAGCTTGTCCCTATCAACATACGATTTGAAGACAAGTCTATTAAAATGTAAATTATGTCTCTTTTCTCTAGGCAGAGAAAAGTGCTTTACTCTAACATGGGAACTAAAGCTTTAGTTTAATTGCACTCAGTGTCTTACAGAAAATATTCTAGGGTTCTTCTGACTCTCATAAAAATGTGTTAATGTTTCTCATCTCCCTCAGAGTCTTTTGTATCAGTTTTGGAGAGTGTTTCTTGGCTCACTCTCTGTTTCTGTCATAACACCCACATGTTGTTGCAGAAGTTGCTGTCTATGCTGCTGCCTCCACTCACATGCTCTTATGATTGGTCATTAAGGAGCAACACTCCGCCTATCAGAGGATGATCAATAAGCCGCTCCGGCTGCAGTGCTGAGTACTGACAGGCCCAGACAGGCTGCATTCACACACAGAGACAACTTACAGCAGAGGTCCCTCAACATCTATATTACAGTATTATTACTGCTACTACAACTCCTGTCACTGCTACTCCTACAACTGCTACTACTACCAATGCAACCACTAACAGTACCACAACACTTAACCCTACCAATAATCCTAGCCCCATGATTACTGCTACAACTGCTGCTGCTCAGTACCACTTTCACTGCCGGGTAACCTGTCAGAGGGCACTGGGGCAAAAATGAGCTGCTGGTACCCTATTTACCCCCCTCTCCTGCAATATGTACAATTTTGTTATCCTGGAATAATGCTCGAATCCAGATTTGCTGTCTGGTCATTTCAATAAACCGAATCAGTTTAAAATTATGCAACAGTAGGTGATAAAGCAGGACCTGCCTCAGTGGGCGTTCAGTCCAAAATCAGCCCTGCATTCAAACAATGCAAGGGGCCGCTGCGTTAGTGGGGGCATGTTGCTTCAGGCACTGGTGGGACATACAATACAATCCAGGAAGTCTGAGAACAGAGCTGTGAATTTTAAGGTTTATCAGACGCAAAAACACTCAGCGGCGGTTTATAACACTCACAGACAGGATTTTACAACTCTGGAAAGTTATCATGGCGGCAACTATTTCATCTTTCACACATGAATTTGCACGGTTGACCAAAAAGCAAGCTTTTCTTGACAGAGCTGACATCTGAAGGAGCAGACCACTGGAGAGTTCAAAATCCTCCATTTTGAAGCTATCATATCTTTTTAGCTATCTTGCACCATCCACTTATATTTAACCTCCTCTGTCAGAGTATAAACACCTCCATCGAAGAGGAATAGTTTGCAGATATTTATGAAATAGGAGTCTCATAACACAGCTAATAAACTACGATAGCTTCCTCCAATTTGGACTTTCCAGCACTTTGCTCTAACAAAGGTCAGTTCTGTCAAGCGTACGTGCTGCAGTTGAACACTTTGCAAAAACTTTCGGATTGTAGATTTCCTTCGCCCCTGCGAGTGGATCAACTGACTGCAGTGACTCCATTGGAATGAACTGATGTTGCCACAAAATTTCACAGTTTCAAATGTCAGTGTTAGCGAGCCTACAGGCTGACAAAATACAGCTCCGATTGATGAGCATGCAGAGTATGACAAGGTGAATCATACAATGTTTTTTCTCCATTTAGTAACCTGTTGCCGTTTCCTACACCAATAACACTGCACAAAACTGATGAACGGCAACATTTAAACTCCTTATTTGTCAAAACTCTGCTAAATATCACTGCAAACTTTGTGCTGATATCAGTGGATCGCAGCGTGTGGGAGTTTGGCTCTTAAATGAGATATCCACCAATTGAAAATTTGACACCTACAAGCTTTAGTGCAAAGTGCTCTTCAGAGACTGCACAGTGTCTTCGTAGTCAGCTTGTGAGCTGTAATGCTTACTGACGTCAGTGTAATAGATTTTGCAATGGACGTGGATGTTTGGAAATGTCTTTTTAACTGGTTTCCCGTGTCCTGGGAGGGAGACAGGAGGAAGGCCAGCCAAAGAGAACGGCTATAGCTCGTACATCAGCCCGAGATATCTAAATATTTATGCTGTGATCCACATTTATCCATTCACTGGTACAGCTTTCTGGGTCAAAAACATTAAGTTTCTGGGAAGATACATGTATACACAATGTTTATCCAATGCTACCCACAGAGATTTATCCTAAACTGTCAGGGTTTACACTAACACACATAAACTGCAGTGTGTGTCTCACTAAAAATCATTAGAAACATTAATTTGAGTACTGCACCAGCTGGGAAAATCTGGGCAGGAGAAGTCAATGAGTAACGCCTTCGCATCCATCAGTAGCTGATAGCCAGGTTCTCTTGAGCAAGACAGCCGATGAAGCTGAAGAACAGTACAAGATCATGGTTGTTACCAGGATACTTAAATGTACAGTATGAAAAAGAAGCATGTCAGCTAATTTTATCTGAATGAATTGCAGAAATTTGAACTGCTATGAAGAAAAAATTGTAACCAGCACACTGCGGATGTCACCCCCACCCATGGGTGCTTCTAGCGGGAGGTTAATAGTTTTTGTTAAGAGGAAAAAATTGGGCCTTCTTCCATGAGCAGGGTGTGGCAAAAAAAATCCCAACTCAACTCAAGTGGGAGGTTAAAAATAAAAAGCCTTTAGTAAATATGGGCTAATACATACACGAATACACTCGAAGGAGACAATGCATGCTCATTTTTGTGTTGTAGTAGCTCATATTGATTAATGAGCTTATACCATCCAGTTGATCGCCTGGATCTTTATTGCCACACCCTATCCAGGGATATATTTTCTGCCTCTTTATAAATGAAAATACACATCATTTTGAATGCTGAATGCTGCAGCAGTAAGATTTTCACAAGCTGATCAGCACTGCAGCACCTTGTTAAAATGAATATGAACTTAAAAAGTAGAAAAGTTACTTGCAAGACTACTTACTTACATTGTCTCTTCCCTTCAAAATGAAATGTAAGATATATCTTTCGCATCAAATAGACCACTTTTTTGGTTCGGTGGAAAGTTGTCTGCAGAAAATTTCAAATTTCAAATTATTTGTACTGACAAACCACGGAGTAAGGAGCAAACATCTCCTTGAGGCTGCAGTATTCCTAAGGGCTAGTCCAGACTGAATATCTCAACAGATATTGGATGGATTGCAATGAAATTCTGGTCTCAAGATGACAATGATGGGTCCTGATGACTTTAGTGATCCTCTGATTTTTCCTCTTGCTCCACCATGAAGTATTCAAAATGTTAGATTGAACATCAGCATGCTAACACTGTCTTTGCCTTATGATGTTTTCCCTGAGGGTGCTGCTAGAAAAAAAAGACCTAAAACACAAGCATTTATGCTTTGGAAAGTCAAAGAGAGTAATCGAACTATTAGGTTTTCGGAGAACCTGTGAAGATATATGAAACTATTTTGGCATGATGGTGGGAGATAGAGAAAGGTCTGGGGAATCACCAAAAGCATTTGTCCTCTGGGGATCAGGAATAATCACAATACATTTCATAAAGATGTGGTCAGTATCTTGAGAGGCAAGCAAGTCAAAGTCAAAGCGAGTCAATATTAAGTATTCAAATCTAACCAGCAAACAGTCAAACATTGTGTAAATTGTACTAGTTTTTAATTTATTATATTATTTCTAATCTCTTTATCATCTTAGGTGGGTTTCAGGGTGCGTTCCTCTGGAGTGATCCAACTGTAAAACATGCTGGCATGTGGGGGCACTAATGCTGCGATATGCCACATTGCCAAACTGAATTATGATTAATGCTGTTTATACTAATCCCAGCAGTTATATGAAGTATCGGCTTTATTTGTGTGATCTGCAGGCGGAGCGTTACCGATGGAGAGATTAGAAAGACGTCCCACATTTAAACAACAAGGAAACACCATTTATCAAACTGAGAGGGTCGCAGGGAAGTGTGTTGGTTTCAAAGCTCTTCTTCTTCTGTCTTTTTCAGCTCCACATACTCACATTTATTCTCTGGGTAGGCAGAGGGATATGCAGAATGTGAGTTGGGTTTTCTGTCATCTCATTCATCTTTGTATTTCATCTGCACACACACGCCTGGTGTTGACCTTGGCTCTGACCAGACCTGCTGCCATGCGCCCTCCAGACGAGGGCCTGACCTCACTTGCCAAGACCTTCCTGTCCAACTAAATGGATCGTCTTACGTTTCAGAGCACAAAGGACAACAGAGGGAAGAAAGGGGTGGCTGGGGGTTGAAGTTAGATGGGAGACATGAAAGACAACATTTTAGCTTGTAGGCCGCAGGGAATGACAACAAACACGGGGCATCGAGTGAAACACGATCTCTGCAGAGGGAAGGTGGAGGTGCTGCTTCTGTCAGTCGGCTTGTGTCTCTCAGTGGAGGCCTGTCAGCTTTCAACCAGGCAGCATGGAAGCCTTATCTCTACAAAAAACTGCAATGGCCACTTTATCTACAGGAGGCCTGAGAGGAACCTAAATAATTATTTTGTAATCTCAACAAAAGCATTTGCTGTTCTGCCACCACTGAGTCATCATAGTTTTTATTTGTTATGACATCATGACTTTTTTATGCTTGGACTTAGATATGATTAGAAATAATTTGTGATTAGAAAATAAGTCAAAAATACAACCTTTAATTAGTCAGGTACATCCAATTGAGTTTGAAATCTAATTTTGAGCTCTTAAGATGAACTGAGTTCATGAATGATGAATTTTGTTATAGTGACAAAACTACTGATTATTTGTGTTACTGATTAACTGATCAATTATTTTCACCTGTTACTGTATTATTTATTTGGTCTATAACATGCAAATGACCCATCTCACAAGTTCAGAGCCCAAGGTGACGTCTCAAACTTGATGACTTTGTCCACAAGATATTAAAATATACAATAATATAAAACAGAACAAAGCAAATCTTCACCACCCTGAAGCATCGTAATAAAAGCCTTAGAACAATACCTTTAATTAAAAGATTTAGTGTTTATATAATGATTAAAAAGATTGTCTTACCTCGGGCCTAGTTTCCATCAAGATGTTTCCTGCGTTGAGCAAAACACATAACTATTGTGAAAGTTTATATTATCAGTGACATCAGCTACTGTAAATCTAGTGTTTTTTACAGTCTGGGTCTTATCTTTGTACTGTTGTCCATCATTCTTATTAGTTATCTTAACATTGCTGTGCCTGCGCCAACCAAGAGATTAGGCAGTCTTTGTGGCCTGTTTCATGGTTGCACCTATATTAGCGACTCCTGCTGGTTGGTTCTGACACCTGCATAATACTTTAGTTGGCTGTCTTTCACATGTTTATCTGTTAACAGTGTCTGATGCCAACGTATAATTCATTGCTAAGGTAATGTATCATACCTCAACACTCTTAGGGTGCTGCCCAAATAAAAAATTAAATGACTGGTAAGATTTGATAAAAAAGTGTTTTTCTTTTTTACTCGCTAGGTTTAAATTTGGATTAAATAAAAAAAAAGAAAAAGTTGTTTAAGCAAAAGTTCTTGTATGGCTGTTTGAGTTAACAGCAGATTTAAAAATGTTGAACATTAGACGTCATTCATGTTAACTTATGTATTGAAAAAAGTATAATTTTAGTATACATTCCCATTTATCATTTAGCATAAAATCTCAGAAAAAAGTGATCAATGCTCATCAGAATTTCGTCAACATCATCTAATTGCTCCTTTTGTCCTCCAACAATCAAAAAACCCCAAACATATTACATTTATTATCACGTACAGTAAAGAACAGCAGCAAATCCTTGGAATGTAAAAGCTGGAGTAATCTTTGACTATTTTGCTTGATAAACCCTTCATTTTCTGACAATCATTTAATCGAGTAATTGTTTCGGATATTAACATTAAAAATTTCTAAAGAGCCTAACCTTCTCAACTCAGTTTGCTCCCACAGCAGTTTTTAACTAAATGCTTTGTGCTTTACAAAGTGTTGTTTTTGGGATAAATTAAACATTTGTGTCCAAGTAGTAAGCTTCTAGCAGAGATAAATTGTTACATGTATTATAATCAACTGCGAGTTTAGGGAAACAAACAAATAAAAAAAACGAGGGACTCTTGAGGGAAAATAAATCTGCCATCACTGGGCAGTAAACATCCAGCTGCATCCACGCTACCTCTCCAATTATTCAAAAAGTTCAAACGTGTCAATTTGAACTCGAGTCTCTCTACGTTCTCGTTCGATATGTTATTATTTCAAGTACATCATTTTGTTGCATCATTTGGACAGAAAGAAAGGAGAGGGAAAAGAAAACAACTAGACATAGTTAAGTTCTGTCAGCGCTTGGAGAGCCAGCACCAAGAGAAGACCCTGCTTCTGCGAGGAGCTGCCTTAGCGAGTTTATTTACAATTCACAAAATACAGGTGTCGCTCTCAATGTTCAGGCATTTCACATTAGTGTCGTGATCTGACAAACCACCAGTTTCTCTCTTCTTTGCTCTCAGTCTTTGGTTTCCCAACCTTGAAAGTTGGCTTCACATGAGTTAAACTCGTACAATATTTTCTTTAAATACTCTTTGCCCAGTGAATTATTTCCTCACACATACCGTCTTGTCTGAATTTTAAAATCCAGGTTTTCCTTTGTTGCTACCTTCCAGGTGAGGATTTCGGGCGCTTTCTACAAAAACCTGAATTTTTACAGCGCGTTCTTGATAAAACTTGTTCAGTTTCATATTTGTATAATTCAACATACAGGTTAGCATCAAAACTTAGCTGGTTAGAGAGTTTGGGTCTATCTATATATATTTACTATGTACAATTTCATCCTATTTTATGGCTTCAATACACAATATTACATCTCTATCTGAGGATCGCTTTGTAGTAGTTGTGCGTCGGATGTATGGCGGCTAATTGAAGGCATGTGTAGAAGTAGTTACTCTGCACTTCTTTTAATGTCAACCTTACTTCTTTTATCCTAACAATGACAAAAAAAAGTTGCTACTAAGTGCTAGGATGCTGTGCGGTTTAAAATAACAACACTATAACAAAGAAGTGACAGTCTACGGTGCATACTTTAGCCTGTTTTGTTCTGTCTGTAATAAAATATTTTGTTCCAAAACTCTTAAATATGGAGAAAAATCCTTAGTTTATAAACACTGAAAAGTTCCAGTTTGTGTGCGCGTCTACATTTTGTTAAGGACTTGGATTTTTAAAAAGTTTTTTTCTGCATTAAATGTTTCAGACACAGTATGTGGCATCTTCCATATGATGGATATGTTGTTTTAGATTATCTGCAGCCTTCAGGTGTGCGTCGATTTGACAGCACTCGAAGATATTGAAGTACTGACATTGTTAATGAAATAAATTCTTTCATATTGTCCTTCAAAGAAAATCTTACTGTGGTCTGATGCTAACCGGGAGGGGGAAAACGGTACATTATTTTGGCCCAACTTCACATTACTGTGTTTTACCTTTGAAGGAAGGACACAAAGTGGATAACTAAGTTAGGCTGTGTTGAGATCAAATCTGCTCAGTCACCACTGAGCTCTATGAATTTCCATTCATCCAGTCACTGTAACACACACACACACCTGCTCCACTCAAGTATTGAATACTTGAGTGTTTTCTATCCAAAACTAATTTGAAAATATATAAATTACAGGGTATGCGTTACCGTGAACATTTTTTTAAAATTTAAAACAAACTCTCGTAACTTAAATGTTTTGTTCCTTCTTCTGAATACCTGTGCTGGTGTACAGTAACACTCCACTCAAACTAATCTGATATTGCTGATTATTGTAACCACCAGTTGTTTCCCATTGCTTGGTATAGCAGTTGAGCTGTGCACCCCCCTGTGGTCAGAAGTGATATGGTAGTAATACCTTCCAGAAGTGCAACAGTTCAGAGGGGTATTAACCCAGTTTACAGTGCAGTTTTTAAGTGCTTGGATAAGGATACATTTTTGTTTTGGCTCTGTGCTTAAACACGGTGGGTTGTAACTATGAGGTTACAGTGTGGACTTTCAGCTTTAAGGGTATTTGAGTGCGTTCCCATTTATCCATTTGGGGGTATGTATAAAGAATGCTACCATTTCTACACAGTTCATTGGAAGTGAATGTAAACACTTAAATTAAAACTCAAAGTCAGCACTTTAACCTCAGAGTCAGTTATTTCATCCAAAGTACTTAAGTTCAAGGCCAAAACAAAACAGTCTAAACACAAACAAACTGCACTGTAGGTGGCTGACGGGAAGTGAACTTTTCTTTGTTCAAGTTGCCAAAATCAACTTTACTTTTACTTCCTTAAATAATTTACTCTTTGAAAGCAAATACAGGGAGTTTTCACTAAAGTGAAAAATAGTTAGAGCATTTACTACTTAGTGAGGCGAGTTTAGGACACCAGGACTTCCTGTCTAAATTTCAAGGCCCTTCTCTTACTGATGGGTACTGATGGACATTTTGTCAACCCCACATGTAATAATGAAGTATTCAAGACAAGCTGTCTCCTAACAGTTGTACACATCTCCACCTGCTATGAACTAGATCAGACTGAGCCTATCTCAATAAACAAAATAAAAGTATTCTTTTTGCTCAAAGAATGTAAAATTCTGGAGCTTTTCAAACCTTCAGGTGTTTAGAAATCAATACCGATATCAGCTATCGGTGCAATACACCTTTGTGTTGCCGATACCCAATCGCAATGCCATGTGTTTATTTGTCTCCATCACGATCTCCACGCAGCCTTCTCTCATGCTGGCGCTTGGTGATTATGTATTTGAAGAACTCATAGACGGACCAGCTGATGGCTGTAGAGGGCATCTGGTAAATGACCCGGGCTTGGACCCCTTTGAAAAAGGCCGGCATGCCTCCCGTCCTGTACACAGTCCGAAAAGCCTCGCCCAGACCAGAGATGTGGCGACTGACAGGGGCTGAAGCAGTAGCTGCTCCCACCGCTCCGGCCGCCGTCGCTGCCTCGGCCTGGATCACATGTATGGCCTGAGCCTCCTGGGTGTTGAGGAGGGTCTTGCAGACGTCGAGGGGAGTGGTAACAGAGGCGGCCAAGGCTCCAGCCAGCGCGCCGGACACAACATGAGAGGAAGGGTTGTACTGTCTGTGGGGGTTGAGGAGCTCCTGGAGGTACTCATAGGTCATGAAGTGGAACGCCTGGAAGGGCACGTTCATAGTCAGCTGGGTGGTGTAGCTGCGATAGAAAGCGGCTGGGCCCTCGTGCCTCAACAAAGACCCCATACAGTCAAGCACGCCACGATAAGGAGAGTTAAACATCTGCATTCGCTGTTTCACAACTGAAAGAGACAAAGAGAGAGAGGTAGGAGAGGAAATTAAGAATGAAAAACGTCAGGAATATATTTTACATGATTCCACATTCAGACAGGGAACTAAAATCATGAACTGGGAGGAAGAAAAGACCACTAGAAAGGAAGAAGTATTACCAGACTTTGTCTCAAAAACATCATTTGTTTTCTTAATACCAACAGTAGTAACAATGGGTGGAATGAGTGGGACAAAAGTTCCATAAATAGGCTGAAAACAATCAGTTATCAATTAAACAATAGTTTTTTTTAAATGACCTGAATTATGAATAGTCTAATGCGTTAATGATGCACAATCGCATTCAATAAGACACTCTTAACTTCATCATCATGTACCGCTAATCTTATTATCCATCAATCCATCATCTATACCAGCTTAGCCTGTGCAGAGCTGCAGGGGGGTTCGTTTTATTAGCTTTAACAAAACAGTCTGTAAATAAAACTGTGACTTAACTATGGTCAAATACATAACGTTGATGAGTAATAAACTTAATTATTCTGTGTTTCCCACAGGATTTGAAAAGACTATGGTGGGTGGGCCTTGGACTCTCTCGGGGGTCCAGGGACATTTATTTTTTTTATTTGATTTTTTACTTTGGACACTGTGAATATAATCCAATTAATCTTATTTCCATACTGTATAGACGCCTTAGTTTGAAAACCGGACCTTGTCACGTGTATCCTCGCGCTAAATTCATCAAGTCCGATTCAGTTTGATAAATAATGTTGTATGTGGTTCTTGTATGGCGTAACATGAAGACTTCTCAGCCTCTCTTCAGGTAGGACTCTCATACTGCAACACTTGACAGGATTAAGTCGCTAACCTGCCTGTCAGCTCGCACTGGGCCGTTTCACTTACCATAAAGGCTTGAATACGTGTGCACTCCAAATGTAGGTGCGGCTAGCTTAATCGCCTTCTCACAGACGAGTGACAGAAACAGACCGTTAACGTTACCGTAGTTACATAGAAAGAAAAGTGGTTGTCTCGAGTCGAAAGCCAAAGCGTGCGAGCTTACAGCAGCGCTGAGTAGCGGCTCAAAACACAACATATGAGGTCTGAAATGTAATTATGAGATGTGTAAAAATATTTTTGTTTCAATTTGAGACTGTGGCGGGCCGCCATGGTCTCATTAATTAACGGGAAACAATGTTATTTTATAAATATACATTTCAAGTTATTTACTATAACTTTTTATAATAAGTATTATTATTTATTTCAATTATGCTGCTGATAGACTGATTTGTTTGTTGCATAAAGATTTAGGCTTCCAGGTCACAGCTGAGTCTGTAGCTCCACCAAGTGTCCTGATGGTAGAATAGCACCATCAGGATTTTTTATAATGGTCTTGAAGAGGTTGAGAGATTCTATAAATAGACCAACAGCAAGTCTTCACTGTGCAGAATGTAGGCACATGTCTGTGTGTGTGTGTGTGAGAGAGAGACTCAGGTGAGCTGTCATAAGTCAAGAAGAGGAGGTTTTACCTTCAGCTGGGTTCATGATGGCATCGTGCAGCACTGTGGCCATGCAGCCCGCCACTCCTGCAGAACAGAGCAAACCGTGAAGAGGAAGTTAAAGCCTCAACCACGAGGAGATCAAGTTTCCCCTCCAGGGCTCGGCAATAACGGTGGCCTGATGGCCTGGGGCCAGTTGAACTAGCAACTCACTGGCCCAATCAGAAACTCCTGCAGTTGCTTTGCTGCTCATGGCGCTTAAAACTGCATGCTCTCTAACTTTATTTTTACTAAATGGCTGACAGCAGGAGAGAGAGCACGTCATGTTTGAGTCTGTTAGTATGTTTTGTTTTAAAAGTACATTGTTTTGTTAACCTTTTTATTTTTTACAATTTAACTGTGATGTTTTTAGTTTAGTTTTTTTTTAATAGTTATTTAATAACCGATTAAACATGTTAACAGTATAACGTAACTTATAAGTCTTTGGTTTTGTTATAACATTGATACATAACGTTTGAAAGGAGGGCCAGTAAAAATTGTCTTCGGGCCAGTAAGTTTCAAACCGACAAAAAAGTTTAACGTTGAGCCCTCCTTCTCCGTTATCACCAAAATGAAACTTATTTTTAAGCATATGCCTTTAAATGAGTTGTTGAGTTGCAACATATGTGCCAAATTAATCTACTATTTAGCAACATTAAACTGCATATATAGTAAATAAGTTAATTTGAGAATCATAAACATTTTATTTAGGTCTGTGTGTGTCTGTCAGTAGGCATCTTACCATTAGCAAAGTGGCTATTGGCTCCAGGGTGAATGGCATCACTGAGCGAGAACTTGATCTTCTCATAGCAGGCAAAGTAGAGAGCGTGGGCAGGCCCCGCCCCCACCGCCAGCACATTCACACCTCTGATTGGCCGCCACACACCCTCAGTCCGCACAATCTGCCGCAGGGCGTCCATTACGTTCCTGTAGCGGGCTCCCGGCTCAGGGTGAAGGCTCTGCATGCGGGTCTGGGATGAGATAAATAGAGAGACACTTTTAATACAAATTAGATATGAATCCAAATTATGTTCATGATAATCAGCAGAGTTAACAGTCATAATTCCCAAGTAAACAGAGCTAGTCAATTCTTTTCACCAGGTATCTGATGTTCTTACAAAGAAAATCTTATAATGAGAACAGAACAATTTGCATTTCCAACATCATGCAGGCAAAAATCAGGAGTTCAAAGGTCAGGATGTCAACTGGCCTGATAATACGCAAACAACCAGATAATCTTGTAAGAGCGAGGTACAAAAGATACAGACAGAAATTATAACTATACTATTGAGAGGAATACAAAAGGTTTTTATTTAATGTTGAAACAGAAGAAGCATCACCAACATGTGATTATTAAGCCCCAATTTTAATCACAAGATATTTTAAGTTAAATTTGACTAGTGCCCACTTGCATATCTTTAAAAAAGGTGTGTAGGAAAGCAAACAAGGCAAGGGAGGATCTTTGCCAAAGCCTTCAGCTGGAACCTTTAATCTAATTTTAGGCACAGACACTTTCGGGACCCTGACAAATAAAACTCTTATTACCATAATACACTGAGGCTCGTGTGACCAAGGCAGGCAGCCGTTTCATATCAGTGTCGACATCTCACCCCGACAGCCCATCAACTAGAAATCATACCAACTTTATGACCGTCAGGAAGTGGTGCAGATTAAAACGCTCGACCTACCACTTGTGTTGCTCATTGCTCTGATAGGCAGTACCGTTTGCACGGTTGCGGCTGTGTGCATGGGTAAAGAGACGGCACACCAGAGAAATGAGAATTCCAAAAGGTCCACACAAAGATGGCGCAATCCTCAAACTTTTCATAACATGCAATAAGTGAATTACCCGTGCATACACACTCCCTTCAGGGATAAATGTTTACAGCAGGGGAGGGAGCACGGCTGCCTCCTGGAGCCCTACGAGGACATTTCCACTCCCTGCTTCTGGGAAATGATAACTAACATGGAATGTGCTCAGTCATCCTCAGTGTATTCAAGTCTGGTGTTTTGGGTTTTTTTTGAAGTGCCAAGCGATGAGACACATGACAGAGAGCCAGACTGTTCACCAAAAACAGAATCAGGTGTCAGTGAACAAAAAAAACAATACAAAAGGGCTTTGTGTTAATGTCACTTCTTCACATGGTACAACACATGTGAAGAAGTCAATGTAGAGAACTACAACACTGGGAGGAAAATGAATAAAGAAAAGGCCAACTGAAACAACACAGACGCAGGTCTATGGATGTTCGAATAAAAATTAAAAACATGTACCTTTATTGTAATGCAAACAAAAATAAAAATCATGGGAGGACCTCAGTCATACAAACACCAGCTAAAAGACAATCAAGATGGAGTCTGAAACTCACGCGTGTGACATTTAGTGTTATGTATTAGTAAGTGAGAGCATGTTAAATAGACGTAGTACTTGACACTGTAACTACAACATGTTTGGTACCTGCCGCCCAAGTTTTTCTGCCTTCAAAATGTACTATACATTGTCAAACTTGGTATCTTGTTGTGTACAAGTATTTCAGTTACAGCCTTCCTGCATGGCGAAAGTTTGCCTTTGCCTCTGAGACCAAAACAATGATACAGTCACAATCTACGGTCACTGTCGCTGAACATGACGGGTGTCTTTACAGACTCACTGTCACATCAATTTTCAATGTATGTCGTATTAGCAGGGAGAGGTATTAGCTTCCTCCTGAGTTTTAAACAATTAAGTCTGTATTTTAGTGTGTAGCGTGTATAAGTAGCGTAGACGCATTTTGTTTTTAATCCAATCTAATGTTTGGCAGAGCAGTGTTCGGTTTAGTGATGCTAATCAGTCATAGATACAAAAACAGATTTTTGTCTGACAAAGACATCTTTTCACACCGAACTGCCAGCGGTCAGGTTACACTGTAAGTAATGTAGGCGCCAGGTTTTGACAAGTAGGCAGAATGTGTGGAATAAAAAAAAGACTATCTCTGGCTCTGCGGCATAAATTAAGATCCTCTTGTTTTTTTAAACTGTCCATAAAGTCCAAAAAGGTTGAAGTTCTCGCTTTAGTGATGAAGGAATAGATTCAAGGTGCGGCCAGTATAGTAAGACACAGCTGTTGGATTTGGTCAGAGGTGCGGCACAACTGAAAGGTACGAACAGAAGAGATTAAGGAAACGTTGCTTAAGCACCTTTAACATTGACCTTCCAGCAATGAGGACACGGAGTCTGGAATTACTGGAAGGAATGAAGAAGATATAGATGATGACCAATCTGCTGTGACAGCAACAGGAAACTAAGATTGTGAAAATAGAGAATTGTCAGGGTAGAGGAAGTTATCTGCAAGACATAAGTGTAATAAAAAAATCTAACTGACTTCCTTTAACTTAAAAGATTTTCGCCCACAAAACTGTAATACAGTTCCTCCTTCTACCTCATCTTTGTGGCTGAAACAGACATCACAGTGTGGATCGAAGGGAGAACAGAAAAGTAAAAATAAAAATCTATTTTTGCAACACCTACAGTTTACTTTAAAACCTCATCATTTGTTAACTAAATTAATTTAGATTCATGATGTCCAGTTACAAGGGCACCAATGCTTGCAAAAACTTCAACCACGAAGATTTTTGTTTGATAGAGAATTCATAACCGAACATACAGCCAGGTGGGGGATTTAGCTTGATTTTTTTGGATTAAGGATTACGGTTTAAATCTTGCTATTTTTTTGTTTAAGACTCACTAAGATTGAGGAACTGATTTGAACAGTTGTATTTGGTATGTTGCTTTCACATAAAACGTTACACTTCCTTTGCTTTTCACAAGTCCAAACATTCACATCAATACATTTTAACAAGTCATAATCACAGTGTGACCAATTAAAATTACGATATCTGCGTATTGTAATATGACAAAGAACAATAATTTAATATATCTTAATATATACAAAAACACAACTTTTACTCACACTGCCGATAGTAAAACGCAATGGGAGTTATGTGACACAGACATAGTGAATGAGAATTACAAATAACTACGTTCTGTCCTGGTGAATCAAAACACTATTTTGTGACATCTGAGAATCCTCAAAACATGGTCTGCTATGCATGATGTGACTCTGATGCAAAGATTTGCAATGGAACTTGATCTTGTGAATACAGGGCAAGGCAACTTTGCCTAAAAAATGCTATGAACTGGAGGAGCTAATATCAGGGAATTTGTAGTGAACTAGGGCTTTGTGTGATCGCCCGCTTGCTCAAGGAAACCCCTGAGAACGAGTTTGTTCTTTGTCTTCTGATAAAACCCAAGAAGCATAACAGTCTGGATAAAGAGCACTAATATAAAGAACAAGCAGTTTTAGACATCAAGAGTAAAATTTGGTCTTAATGTCAACAACTGCATTTTAAATAGTTATTTCTAATTCTAATTCATGGGTCCTTGGTGAAAAGGGAAGTACAGTCTCAGTCCAAAAGAGTTTGGCAAAAGTAGTCATAGTATGATGTTTTCACAATTCGTGTATGGGGAAATGAATGTTATTTTCAATTTTGTACAACAGGAAATAATAAACATAAACCAACAAATGTAAGCAAAACATTTCCCTAAGACCACTCCCCCATGTTCCTGTTTTCACCACTGTCCCCAACTGGTTTTAGTTAGTTTCTTACACTTACACTCCTCAATTTCTGTTGTGCCCTGCATTGTGGGGCAATAGTATCCAGTCTACGGCTCTAAATGAAGTGAATTATACATAGCAAACCTGTTTGAATGCACTTAATTGTGTCACTTTGCCAGTTTAGGCATGTAAATAGAGATGACTGATTGATAAGACTGCTGACCACCACTGTTCTAATGACCCATCATCTACTACTTCTATCTCTTGATAATGAACACATGGACTCCTTCAGACAGTTTTTGCCACATGAAATCCTCAGTGATGTCTCTACAAATCACGCAACCCCGTCTAACAATGCAAATGAGCTTTAAAACAAATATCCAGCTTTGTTTAGCTGACTTACGTTACGTTTGATACTTTGGACATGTCGTTATTATTACTAAATAGATAACGTTACGTGGCTATATCCAACTGTGAAAATATGTTCAGTTAGAAAATGTGGTGCGATGAAACGGAAGGTTTACCATTAAACGTACAGCGAAGCGGAGAGAAATGTCCGTTAAAGGCACGCATGTTGGCCAGAAAGCACAATTGATGCTTTAACGTCAGCTAACGTTAGTATGCTAGTGGGACCAGAAGCTACTGTCAAAGCCAACCCTAACCGTGTGTTTGTGTACAAACATCTGCCTAAATGCAAGCTTAACTGTTTAAAACATACCCATTTGTCTTTAGATTTCCAGTGACACAATTTCGTGTTGCGTTAGTTCCTCTTTAGATGACGTTAAGTTAGTTGGTTAGCTGACCTCTGTTAGCTTGAAGCTCAATCGAGCTCAGGCTTGTATTAAGGCCTACATTAGCTTGAGGTTTATGCAACCAGTGGCTGCGTCTTCAGTGGGACATACGCGGGGCCCGGAAGTTTCAAATTAAGCGGTGTATTATATAACTATATATTTGCTTTGATACCTTGACACAATCGATGGGGTACATAAGGCAGTGCTCCATGATTCCAGCCACGGATCCGGCCAGCATGTGCGTGCTGGTGGCTACTCCCTGAGGCAGCCCTTCATAGTCTATTTCTGGTTCGACAGAGGTCGAGGTCTCAGGAGTCGCTCGATGTAACACCGGGGCAAAGTCTTGTTCTCCAGCCATTCTCGGTGAAAGAGACCCGACAAATCCCCCCGTTGCGCCCAGGAGCCTGTCGCCGAGCCATCGAAACTCTGCCCCGGCCGCAGCGCTTGTGATCCGGCTGTCGACGCCCGGTGTTTCCACGGACGTTCGCCGGGACACGAACCCGTCCGCTTCCATTCCAAGCGTTTAGTCCGTTAAGTCAACTCAAATCGACGACCCCAGCGACCCGCCCGTTGCTGTTAGTCTTCCCGGCAGTGTATTAGTGTCCCAGCCGGCCAGAGAAAGTCGTGGCGGGTCGCTGCTACTGCGCGGTAAGCAGCTGAGGAGAGCCGAGACCGGGAACCCGGAGCACAGCGGGCGGGACCTTGGTGGGTTTGTCAATGAGTCACGATAGAAGCTGAAGCTGATTCGACAGACTGACTGTCAGTCACCGACAGTACTTTCAATTGGTCAAATCTGTCTTAAAATGAGGCGGGCAGGTAAAGTGGGCGGGGTTTCAGCGTCGGTGGGTGTGGAAGATTTTATAACAGCAGGAGGTCACATGCATGGACGGGAAATGTTTTAGGTAGGACGTCCCAAGTTGGAATTGAAACCACAACAAAATAAAAAATCTGAAATAGGGACTTAGCACTTATCTTAACTCCACTTAATTATCTGTAATATGTTTAAGGCATAATCGTGTAAAATTTATTAGGGACCCTAACCTTATCTACTCCACACCATATATTCTTCACAATGGTTTGGTCTCCGCTGCCCTTTTCAGACTTTCAGCGACTTTATTTGTAAAAAGCGACCAGCGACAAACCAAGTAAAGTGAGAAATATACTAAAGTCTAATATAATGTAGGCTAATTTATTTTTATGCACGTTGGTCAGAGTCATCTCAGTCACAGTATCTCCCTCTCCTCTGGCACGTGCGCCCACAAGGAGTGAAAGTAAATTATTATGGTTACGGGATGCTCTGCATCTTTATTGCTCTCAAACTTTGCAACAAAGTGTTGCTCCAGGTTCCTTCAAATTCTAAGTTCTTCTGATTAAAATTTCCAAACTTTAAGGCTACTGTAGGCGGTGAACTATATAATGTTTTTTGATCATTGCCTACTGTTGTGATCTGGCTGAATGATGGAGCTGGTGACATAATCTCTAAAAAAAAAATAATAGCAAATACTCTACAGCATGTTCTCATGTCTCCACATGTTGGCATATGTTGTCTCAGGTGTTGGCCGAGGTCCCTTTCAAATTCTAAGAATTTAGAAAAAGAAAGAAAAGAAATGCCCAAACTTTAAGGCCTTATAGGCTGCAGTCTATATACACCAGTTAATTGTGTGTGTGTGTGTGTGTGTGTGTGTGTGTGTAAATTCATATTTAGTTGTCGCATCACCAAGGACGCTATGCTCTTTCTCTATAATAATGTAACTATTTATACTGTATAAATAGCAGTAGTCCAGTAGTACATCTTCCTTCCTAGGGGCTCTCTGATCAGTCAATAATAGGATGCATCATCCCATTCCCAAATTTTTTAAATGTCTCAAAAATGTCACCTTGCTCAGTAGTTACTTTATTAATCACACCCAAATTCAGATCCATCGTTGAATAAAATCTTCAGTCACGTGACATGCGCGGCGACCTGGAGGGCAAAACAACAGACCAACGCTGCGACTCACAAAAGCTGTTAGATTTTATAGGATCACCTTTCAATTTATGAAAAATTAATATATGAGCACAAACTGCAAGTGTTATATGCAAGTGCATATCCAGGGGCGTAGGTATGTTTTACATACAAAAGTCTGTAGCAGTAGGCTGTAAGGTAGGCTATATAGTGAAATATATAAAATATACATTCCACAGATTCAACAGAATGATTTTAGTCTTATTTTCTTTGGTATTTGTGTCACATATCTACACATGCAGTGATGATTGCTTGGTAATATGTAAATGACTTCCCAATCTTAAGTTTCTATTTGATCATGTGACAATTGACAAGACTGCTGAACGCGAAATCTGACCAGTAGACTAACAGACCACACGTGCAAGCTGGAATTCGAGCTGTTCACACATAAAAGTAGTTTCATGAAGAGACAGGAGAGAAAAGAACAGGAGGAGAGGGTCACAAAACTCCCAGATAAGATTGTTTTGGATTACTGAGGACATTGTCAAAGATTTTGCTCAATGTAGGCTCGTCAGATGCCTTTCAAATAGGTGAGGAACTTTCATGCACGTGCAGAGGGGGGTGCAATGTGTGCTTTGGGCATCAAAGGGCAAAAGGGCAGGTGCTTTGCCCTTTGCCCTTTTGTGAAGGCCTGCCAAATCAAACTATTAGTAAAATGAAAATAAATGACCCACATTATGACCTTTCACCTGATGACCTCATCCGTGACGAGCCCTCCAGTTCAGGCACCGTTAGTGATTCAGCAGCTCTGCCTGCAGGACACCTGCGATCCTGCAGGTAAGAGGGGTTTGCCGCAACGTGCTTGTTGTGGGTTGTTGAAGGTATTTTGCAAGAAAGACGCAAAGAGAGCAGCACAGTAGTTGTATATTGCTGTGTGTGGCCTGTAGAAGTAACTTTAGCTGCCGACAAAACACTGTGCCCACAGCTAACTTTACTTCTACACACAGATAAACTAAAGGTGCTCTGTTCACTTCGTTCTTGCTGTTTGAGTTGAGAAAAATTTCTCAGGCATCGCGAGGTCTGGTATTTTTTATGTAATTTGTCTAAAAACCTTTCACTTCAACTAGGATTATTACAGTAACTTAATAAAAAACGTAGTGTGCCTTAAAATAATTATAACAGCGTTGGTAAAACAGGTTTATTAGTTATTCCTCTGAATTATAGTCTTTATCTGCCCGTTTTAAAACCATCATTTAAATCAGAACAGTATTTGAATAGATTTAATAGCAAACCTATTATATGAACTAAATAACTGGAAATACATGTGATAATGTCAGTGTCAATATGAAATAAACAATATTCCTGACATCAAAGTGAAGAGTGAAAAAGAAATAGATTTCAGAAAAAGGTATGAAATGTGTAATGTGAAAGGTAAATGCTGCTCTGTCATGGTTATTATTGGCAAACAATGAACACACATCTTTTTAGATTTATGATTAGACAGATAGTCAATCAAAATCCAAGTATATCTCAGATTCACAATACAATATATAAAATCATTATCACAATATTGCCTACACACACACACACACACACACACACACACACACACACACACACACCTGTCTATAGATTTGTCTCACTCTTACTTCCTGCCTTGGCTAACCTAGTCCTTTCTCCCAGTACTGTTTCGTTCCCAGATTATTTCCCACACTTTTTTGAACCTGGAATCTTATTTCCTCTCCCTGCAGCTCTCGGTGTGCAACAGTCTCTGAGAGCACCTCCCTCTTATTTTCTCATAGCAGTCAGCCTTGGCAGCGGCTGCAGCTACAGCAGGTCAGTCATACTGAGCCGGTCCCAAATACTGTCAGCAATCTTTTCATGGTCACATATTTGTTTCATCAGCTTATATATCTCCTATCCGAGGTTGTTGTGCTGAAGTTGCCCGAAAAAGTCTGCGTCTTTTCAGCAGGACACCTCCTGCACTCAGCTGTTTGTAGTGACGTCTCAGGATTTTGACAATGACAGCACTGGCCATGCTTCTTATAACTTTTTCTTTGACTTCTGTACTTTGCAAATTCTAGGTGACACAGTCCGACTCTAAAATCCATCACATAATGGTAATTTACTTTAGACTGCTGCGTCCAGGCGCACGCAACCCAGCGGCTGCAGCAGCAGCGTGTGTGTTGGAGAGACACGCACACAAAGAGAACTGTTGAATTTAAATCTAATCTTATCAGTTGTTAAACCGTGGCAAAACAAGGAAATAAGGCACATACATTTGCCAATATAGGGTTCTCTTCTAGACACAAACGCAGGGTGTGCTTTATAATGGTGTAGCCCAAGGGCCCATCATAACAGCCTACACTGGGGCCCGTTGTTACTACCTTACGCAGCTGGGCATATCAGATCCATTACCGTTAAAAACCGCCAGGTTCCTGCCGCCGCTGGACTGCGGTAATTGTTTACTTTTACCTTCTGGGGACTCCCTCACCACAACACAGCCCAGGCGGAATGTGACGTGACATGACAATTATGAATAGACATATTATAAAGTCAAAAAGACGTGTGTGTATGTATATTCTATTTTACCTAATTCCCAAGTTGTAAGCTTGTTATCTTGCTGATACACCCGACAAAGCATGACTTAATAATTTTAACAAATCGGCATCATGATTTAGTTAATTCGGCATCTGTTTGATCCGTTTATTGCAACCAAATCTCAGCAAAATGTTTGTTTTGGGTTCATACAGCTGTAGTAATGGCTGATGGTGGTTATTCACGTTGACGCGTTATGTGGGAACCATAGACTGTATATAATAAAAAAGTGTGAACACGTGGCGAGTAGTCCAGCGGTCAAACTCACTCAATGAAAGCTTCGTGCTGAAAAATCGCGTTGTGTGTGCAACCAGCATTATATTTCTCTGAGTAGTTCAGGTACATAGTTCTAATTTTTCCTACAGCACCCGAATGCAGCAGACATTCACTTCCTGACGTAGCCACGCCGGCTCACCGGAAGTCTGTTGGATTTTTCTGTCAGCTCCGCTTCTTCGCCTCGTCGTCTTCTTTTTTATAAGAATCTCCGTGAAGTACAGTGTGGGTGGAAAACATTTGATCACCGTTTCTGTCGAAGTAACAACACATTTAACTGACAGACTGAACTGTCATGGCGGATGGTAGGGATATTTAGGTAAGTTTTATAAGAGCTTGATGGCGTAGTGATACACTAACGTTAACGGTTCACGAACGTTAGCACCGGAGTCTGCGACCCATCAGATTCTGTGACCTAAATGTGAAGTTAAGCCCTCGGGACTTCCAGCCAGAAAGCGTTTATCATGCGGTTAACGTCGTGAAACGGTGGCATTTTGGTTATGTTTAGTTAGGTGGTTTGGTTAGGTTTGGTTAGGTTTGGAAACCAAAACCTGTTTGTACCTGAACAGTTGGTTACTTGCATTTAGCCACTGGTGTAGCTAAGGTTGGAAATGTTTTGTGTTGTTTGTTCCGTCCCCAAAGGCAAGCTAATCTGTTTTTTTTATGCAATAGTTATAGCTAGCTTATAGCTGGGAAAG